ATCCGTGTTAATCAAATCAAAATTATTACCCAAAAGGAAGGTATGCCAAATAATATTACCACGTCTGCATCCCTCGTTGGTGAGATGGAACTCACTTATTCACCGCCGGAATTTCAGTTTTCACAAGCATTAACCGTAGCTTTTCATGCGCCGGTTTTGGTTGCTGTCTTTTGGCTGCTCATTAGGATGAAACAGCAGAATGAAGATTGGAATGACGAGAGCAGAGTCAAAGAGAAGATAGAGAATTCATAGACTGGGGTTGCAAGAATATTAAGTAGATGCACAAACGCCACCACTTACAACACCCAGTCATATCACTGTGTCTGTAACCGCCAGTTACCATGATCTCAAAGAGCTTAACGGGGCCTATGTGACCCAGTGTCCTGGTTAGGGGTTTCCATACCCTCATGCCAGGTCTTAGTTTGACCACCCTTGACTTTTTTCCACCCACTACCTGCATCAACCATCGGAGTAGCCACTCATCTATCCGTGACCAAGAGAGGAACCCGGTAGCACCCAGTTATGTTACCCGTTTCAGGGTTCTGAGTAATCTTTGATAATAATTTAACTACTGATTACAGTAGTAAAACTGAAACTTCCACAAGAGCATTTTGAGAATATGACGATTTGGGTGACCAAAGATACCGATTTAGGGACATACTATTCGATGACTGCCTCATCACAAGCAGTTTTACGATATAAACTAAATGCCCTGAATCCGTTTGCATAGCAACACAACCAAAATCCTAGAATAAATTAAACCAACGAATGGATCGCGGAGCAAATCAGTTCTGTGAATCTGTTAAAGCAGTAATGATAGCGTGTGTGACGACTTCACAATGATCATTGGGCGGGTGGAACGCCGAGTTAACTTACGTTGATCCAAAGGCATAGGAACGGAGCCTTGAACCCAGGGAGTGTGATCGTCCACCATGTGAATGGTCAAATTTGGATGCCAATGTGTAACGGGAGGTAAATAAGTCATATTGGCCGGAGTAGACGCATTAGCAATCAGGTCTGGATGCGTTTCAGTTTGACCGGTGAGCAGGTTAACCGTCCGTGACAAACGACGACGTTTGTATCGAGTGAGCACTAGAATGACGGGAAGATTGAGGGGAACGGGCATCACTCAGATAATCTTTGCATCAGAGCTGTAAACAGATTAATCAACAGGGACTAGGGTGGATGAAACTTTGTGCGCTAAATTCCTAATGTTATGAATGATAGCACGATTGAGAACGCAGTGTCAAACGTTGATGTGGGATTAAAACCTGGTGTCTATGGAACAATCACGTACAAGATGATGTCCACCGAGTTTTACTGAGGCACGATCTCTCTCTCGCACAAACCTAATCCTAAAATGAATGGTTAATATTCAGGTTATTTTGTTGGTTCAGTTGAGTTTTCATGCAAAACGGAAATAATTCAACAGGAAACAGCATGGCATTCATGACACATTCCACATACTAATCAAATACAATCAGTCGTGAAGATTCGGTATAAACTATCGGAAACAATACGGTTGTAAGATACACTGCACTTGGCAGTCGAGAAAAGAAAAAAGTGGGGCAGAACTGCACAATACGATATCTTAGGGAGGTATGCCCCCCTGGCCATCAAAACAATGGACAAAAATCTATGTAATCATGAAGTTAACTATGTTGACAGCATACACAAATGCAAACAGTCGATTGATCAAGGGTGAGCACAATCAACGACCGCCACTGGAATTTCATAATTGGCAATAACGATAACGATGGGCGTACGGTTACAAGCACACTAACCTTGAATTGAGTTCTGTGGTTAATAAATTTACTCATAAAGCTGTGCGACACATTCTTACTTTTGAGAGTAACAATTCCATTTTCGAAAAGAATTACAAACACCGGATTCCGGAAACTTTCCTACTGGAATTCCGGAATTCAAAATCCCACTTGGTTACTTTGTGACTGTATGGAAGGTGGGTTCAGAATTACCAAAATGATGAATATGCCTGTGAATATCTAAGTCACTACGAAAAATGGACTAACCGCTGATATGCTAACGTAATTAATACAACTGAAACAGTGTCTGCAATCAAGGTCCTACTGAGAGAGTTGGGGTTTCCAGGAGATACTAGTCGGACTACTTGGTAGTAAATATCTTGTACGCACATCGGGATCTAGTGTTCACGTACAGCGCTGTGAGTACATCTCATTCTTCTTCTATTTGCTTCTTACCTATCGGCCTTTTTCTAGTCAAACATGTTTACTGGGCCGAAATCGTCCGCTCAGTCGGTTAGGGAGTACTACTGGAATAACGTGCATCAATAAATAGCGGCAGACAACGTAAAGCGAAGTGCGACCCCAGCCACCGTCAGTTAACTTTCTTTGTGATCGGCTTTGTCCTCGTCTAGTTGAATTCTACTAAAGCCTTGCGTAGTTTGCCATTCAAAGACCCCGGAGTTTAGGTTGCCAGTTCCTATAACCAATAGATACTCGTGACTACGATGTTCACTCCTGATTTATATTGCGAAAAGGTGCGCAGTCGAAACCAGCAGAGATCGCAGGGGTACAACAACACTTGTTGTTGCATTGATATTAATCAGTGGAACTAGATGGAGTAACCTGGTAGTAATATGCGGGTTTCTAAACCCTATGTGACTAGGTTCGAGCCATTACAAGCAGACAGCTGAAAATTCGCAACAACGGGAGAAATTGCAAGTACAAGGCTCTTCAGCGGTATATGTCACGCATTGAAACCGAATGATGCATTACCTTCAATTCGTCTTTTTTTTGTCAAATTGAAACCAACCAATTGAGCCCGAAAAATCCATTTCCCCGACCACTTGAGTACCACATCAATATAAAGGTGGGCTTGGACTAATAGACAGCAAGCTCATAAGACAAAAAAAAATAAACGAAATACAACAACGAAGAAAAGTTAAGATAGCCGATCAGTTTCTCCATCAGTACCGCGTTGATTTAATAGATTTTGTTTGCGAGAATGAAATGTTCTACGAATATTTTACGAAATCATAACTCAAAAGGTGGTGGGACTGATTATGGTGGGCTATACATGTGACTGAACTCACGAAAAACATGTGTTGCATTGTTGAGCGCAGCGAAAACAAACCAACTCACTTTTGGATTTGTACACAGTATATTTGGCCGAGTAGCGATTTCCATCGGACGGATTAGGGGTAAATCCCTTTCTAACTACATACACATGCAAGTACAACGACCCATTGTTCATTAGTCCCCGAAACTGAAACAATTTTTACGGAAGGACAGGGTAGATTAAAATTCATAGGATTGTTCTTCCATGATCATTTTGATTTAAAATGAGAGGAGCAAATCCAATAAGCAAAACTTGTGTTATAATGCATAAAGAAAACATTCAAAAAAATTTTCCGCTTGTGGATTCTGAATTTTAATATATTTTTTATTACACACTTAAGCGTGATGAACAGCAGACGAGCGAACCCTATGGTCACGAGGACCTGCTGTTCAGTGGTGGAAACCGGCAACCTAAGTCCCAGGAGTGGCGAACCACATAAGGCCCCGATAGGTTAGACATGGAGTTTGCATGTAAGAAAGGCAGATATTCCTAAAGAGTGTTTGATGCTTCTGAACAATAGAATGGGCCAATCCAAACATCATACTCAATGAGGAGAGGTGTGCATAGCTTTAAAAAAAAAAGAAAAATGATTGTGGGGCCGATCAATCGAACGGCTAAGATAAGAAAAAGCGATATTTTGAGAGATTCGGACCCAAATAAAGCATGAATCATTGATAAAACTAATTGAACCTCATTATCGTATGATAATGAAAATCGGGTTAGAGGGTTGCAAAACGCATAATGAACGGTTCGGCTTATTATCGTCTTACCCACAGACCGGATTTCACACCTAAAGGCCTTGGCTGCATATTTTCATTAAGGAGCTAAGTTTTTGTGACTACCACTTTTATCGCCTCTGCTGTTCACAAAGGAAGGTATTTTATATGAAAGATATATTCAGATGTGTGCACACTGCAAGGACTACAAAACAAGAACAAATGGGCGACCGTTTGTCCAATCTAGTTGTATCATATCCTGATTCGTTTTTTTAAAACGAATAATCTGGTATTTTCAAATGCAATGGAAATGTTTGTGATGACCGAATAAGACCACTGGACAGCTGTTTCGTCCTGTTTGGGACTCAGAATTCTGGTATTTTGTTTGAAATGTTTCTGCGAATCGAATCTGATCGTTCTGTCAGAAGATCTAGTTGTGAGTGAGTGTGAGTAGGTGAAGGTAAAGTTTGCATTGCAAAGGCTAGACTGTTTTCAGATCCAGGTACTCCATGTCTTCTTTGATAATGAAACTTCAGGTCGTCCGACGACTACCAGACGACAGCGCCATCCTGAACAGGGCTAACGGGAGGTAGTTCTTCTTGAGATCTCCGTAGCGGGACACTGGATAAACGACAAAGGTGTACAAAGATTACCGACTGAACAGCAGAAACAAGAGATGAAAGATTTTAAGACTACGGAGGTCTATGGGTTTTACGGACCACACTTCTAACAGCAGGATCGGCCGGGTAGATCACCACCATAGTGTGCAGACTAATTTCATCGCATGCGCATAATGTTTGGTGGAGTTTTGAAAAAGCCCCCTTAGCGAATTCCACGCGAAGCTAGATTTTGTTGTGGTGTGGCAGTTGAGCTCGATGGTGGGATCGCGGTACTTGAAGGTCTGGACTAATTTCAATGGTTTGCCTTTGATTGGGTTGGGTGTTGTGCTGGGATTGTCGCGATCCGCATAGCTTTCGTCTGAGACGCACTTATTTCTAAACCAATTTCTTTGATGAGGCGGGTGATGCGCTCGACGACTGCAGGTTGCACAATGTGTTTCAGAAGAGGATGACTTCATCCGAAAACTCAAAATCCACGATCCCATTTACAGTTCTTCGTCCACTGCTGAACAGCACCGGAGACTGCACAGTTCTGTCAAACTCCCAGGTTGAAGGGAAAGGCTCCGCTCCACAGATGCGGAGTGAAGCTGAAGTTACCAAACACTTTATGTTTTCAAGTCCTGTAGGCTTCTCTGACATGTCGTTTACTTTGATTATTCTCCCAGTTTCTGCGGACCGAATCAATGCTGTGCGTAAGTCGACAAAGTAGGCCGTCGTTTGTTTCTAGACTAGGGTTGGTAATCCAAGGTCCAACGACGGATAAATACCTGATAAACACAACTCCCACCACAGATAAAGCTCTTTTTTGCATAGTGCGCGTACCTCCCGTTATTGTGGAGCGACTAAGCAATATTACTATTATCTCGTTGATCAAACTGAGGTAGTTTTCCCATAGTTTGTCCCACTTTTAGAGATTGTCAGCAGACTAGAGATAACCCACTCCTCTGGGAAGATCTCTGTTTCCAAAAACGTATTGAATAGCGAATCCAGTTGGCTGAGTAAGACTGGTAGGCGGGATATGAATATCTATGGTGGAAAGCCATTTTCTACTGTGATGCGGTAGATCATTGAGCATGTGCGGCACGTAACGGAGCCTAACATTCCAATTTTTGGTGATAACCCGTTTCCATAACGATAATGCCGAACACAGTGTTTCTCACCTGCTCGCTGTATGGCACCACCGTCTAAAGAAACTGTTAGGCGTGCCAATGGTCAACAGGTGAATAGGCAATGCCATTGAACTTGACCTTTTATGATATTATGCAACGACTTTGGGAACTTGCCATTCCGCTTGAGTGAGTCGTGTTCATGCCTTTTGGCTCATGGTGTCTGTATTTTCCTCTCTTCCAGAGTGTCAGTTCGCCCTCTCCACGGAGAACATCCTGTCTGTCGACGGTTCCAGCCCACACCTAGACTCGGTTCACTTGCGGTTGTCTGGTGTATTCGTTCACCGGGGGATATCCTGGTGCACACACGTCAAGGGCATAGTAACCGCCCCCATCAGCATGAATGACATGATAATTTCACAAACACTAATTGCGTCAGACGGTTTACCATAGGATATCGTCTTGGGAATGGATTTTCTCCAGGCTAACCGAGCCATAATTGATTACAATTAGGGGCCAGCGAGTCGCATTCACACAACCCCAGACCAGGAGACGGGGATCAGCTCCAATGGGAAGTATCAATGACGTTAAACAACTGGTTTCACCACAAGGCATGGCTGCTCCTGTCAGACAGAAAATCTGTGATTTACTTAAGAACAATGCTCCAGGAGTGGAGTCCAAATGTGTCAAGGAACTTCAGCGTGTGATCGAACAGTACGTTGGCGCATTCATGTAGAGTGACACTCAGCTGGGGTGAATAGGCTTAGTGAAACATCGAATAGACACAGGAAACGCCCCACCGATAAACGTTCCTCATAGACGCAGGGTCTGATTCCAAAACAATGCCTGATTTATTTGGATGATGTAATGGTCCACGGAAAAGAACCACATGGATAATTTAAAAACAGTCATTGACAGACTGAGGAAGATAGGCCGCCGCCGGAAACCGGAAAAACGCCGCTTCATGCAGTCTAAAGGTGCATACCTGGGACCATTTCGGCAGCAGGGATCCACACAGACCCGAAGAAAATCGAACAAGTACAATCCTGGCCTACATCACAGAGTCTAGAGGAAGTCAAATACTTCCTAGGATTAGCGTCGTATTACAGGCGATTCAATGGCAATTTTGCCCGAATTGCGTCACCCCTACGCTCTATGATGGAAAAGAACAAACCATTTAGATGGGACACCGAATGCGAAAAGTCATTTCAAACACTCAGAAAACTCCTTTGTTCAGCACACATTTTGGCACTCCTCAACACGTCTCTCTCAGTTTATTCTTGACACAGAAGTTAGCGACACTGCAATCGGCGCAGTATTGTCACAAATCGTGTGAGACGGAAAGGAACACATTATAGCCTACTGGAGCTGATGCTTGAGCAAAAGTGAAAGGAACCACTCGAAAAGGGATGTTGTCACTAGTATCCTTTATGAGACACTACAGACACTATCTAGTCGACCGCAAATGAATTGTCCGTACTGACAACCAATCCTTAAGCTGGCTACAAAATTTCAAAGATGCTGAAGGTCAAACGGCGCGGTAGCAAAACATAATCGAGAAATACGACTTCGACTGCTACCACGGACCCGGAAAAAGCACACCAACGCCGATGCGCTTCGCGATGCCCTTCCGGCCACCATGGAGATTGTCGAACTTGCACCAACCAATACGTAGCAACAGTGTGGCTGCAATGGGCGGAATAAGTGCGTCGTTAATAGTCCAGGCAAACAG